TAATTATGAGGTCTCATTTTTTCAATGGGTCTACACTAGGAAGACTCATAATGGATTCAGCCCATTGTCTTCTTTCATTCTCTGCCCCTAATTACTTCATCATGTTTTGTAGCAGCAGCATAGAATCTAGTTTGAGGAACAAGCAATGGCCATATAGTATGTATATAAAATAACCTCAAGTCACCTATGTCCTATGAGGACCTGGGATACCCAGGAATAATCAGGTTTCTTTAAATAGCAATGGGTTTTTCTTCAGGACATGCTGACAGGTTCATTTGAGGTAATCACAAACTGCAGACATGGGTTATATGTAAATAAGGAAACTTCAGAAAGCTTGGGTGGAGGTTATTTCTCTGCCTTTCCCCCCCAAAGCTTATCTCCGTATGTTAAACTTTCTTGCACTATCAGTCTGACTCCTCCCCAACTGACTTCTCTCAGAGCAAATGGCTTCTGTTTATCAGAAGCAACTGCCAAAGTGTTTTTCGGGTGAAGCTTATGACAGCCTGACCTGTCCTGGTCTAGGTCATTTAGGTAACCATTCATAATGTAAGGTTCTCTGTATGCAGTTGACCGGAACCTAGAATTGGAATCCAAATATAGAAAGCATGGCCATAGTAGATAATATATCCCACCCTGCAAAAAAAAAGCTCCTGAAATTGGACATTCTGCCTCGTATGTAGGCTGTTGGATAGCGATTAGAACTCACCCGGTTTGAACTCAACAATAGCGGGTGGCTTAGGCAGGGACAACACAGCCTAATCCTTTCAAATCCTTATTAGTTTGTCTCTTGTCAGCAGTAGTACAGTATGTTAGGGCATGGGATGTTTGGGGGCAAATTATTTTTATCCTATCGCAGTAATTTTTACACACACATATACATATATGCATATATAAATGCATATGTGAAATATATTCTATATGGGGATTGAATTGGACAATGGTTCATCTAGCTCAGTATAAATGTATCAGAAAGCAGGAACCCAGCAAAACCTGACCGTTAATATTTATAATATTTGTTTATGGTGGAATGGCTTTATTTTTTAAAAAATAAATTGTTGTTGGTGTGTGCCTTCTAGTAATCTCTGACCTATGGAAATGCTAAGCTGAATCTATCTTTTTTTTCTTGGTAAGATTTGTTCAGAGAATAGGGAACATACACAGGGCCATAGCCAGAAAAAGACTTTTTGGGGGGGGGGGGCGGGAGGGGGGTTGAAACTTAAAGTAGTTCCATAACACAAAATAATTTAAATAGTATGGGTCATTCTATATTTTTATATGGACTTAATTAAATGTGTTTTCTATTTTAGTTACAAAGTTTAAAGTATTAAAATAACTGAAAATAACTGTAATTTATAGTAACAAAAGAATACCACAATGTCTGTTGGAAACACTTGAAAACTGTGTCAATACACTTTGACAGAAATCAGGCTCCATTGATAAGCTTCAGTGGACACTCAAGGGTGCAAGTCCAGTCAGTTTTTCTTGCTCCATTATGCTTCTTATGCATGTTTTCAAATGTTTAAGTGTTGAAAATGCCCTATATATAGCCATAGCAATGGGAATACTACTATCTGGAAAAGGGGAAAGAAGCAGCAAGGAGGGAAAGGCCTAATGCCCCATTAGGAACCTGCTTCTTACTTCACGCTGAAGCAAAGAGCACAGCAGGGGGGCAGAGCAGCCTTAAATAGCCTGCAGCTCTGCCCCTGTCAACCACCCCTACCAAGTCTGGTCTCCTTCATGAGGGCCTTCAAATCTCCCCTCCCTGTGCCTTAGGCTTTGCTTGCCAGTTATGAGTGCAAGTAATGATAGTGTGAATACATTGTCAAAATTTGCTTGAGATAGTCCTTGCAGTTCTGAAGGGACTCATTTAATTTTTGCTTCTCATAGACTTAGCATGGGGATTTGGTTAACCAGTTAAAATTCATGAGTAAACCAGGTTTTTTTTAACCTGAATTTTTTTTGGGGGGGGGGGGGGTAGACCCCTACCCCCCCCCCCCCCCCCGAACATATGCCTATCAAGTTTCAGCCCTGAACATATGCCTATCAAGGTGTTGCTGAACTACTGCTCTCCTTAGCTCACTGGCCAGTCTGGCTAGGGTTGATGAGAACTGGAATTCTGAAACATCTAGAAACTATGTTTCCCAATCCCTCTGCCTTTCTGAGGGTACCCCCTTCCTCAAGCAAGTAAATTCTCAAAGTGAGCAAGGGACTGCCACACAAAAAAAGAGTGTAGAAAAGTTGTACATTTCTTTTCTGACATCATCTTTTTCTACCTTGCTTTACTGCTCATCTTTTCTACCTCTTACAATGATATCTTCATATACTCCTTGTTTTGAACATATAGATGGGGCAAGATGTTTCACGTAGGAGATAGAAATGTGGAGGACTAACTGCTGTTTGCTCTCAGACCTCCATGACCACTCTTTCCTCCATTTTCACCTGCATCACAAATAAACCACCATATATCAGCATTCAGATTACTTCAAGAAAAATAGTTGTTTAATGGAGGCAAGCTACATATTCAGTAGTGATTAATCAAATAATAAGAAATGAAGTAATATGGACCACTCTTTGGGCGTCACATGAATGTATATGTCTATGAATTTTGCTTTAAAATATTTTAAATGGTCTGTGTTTTACAATTTACTGAAATAAAAACTCAAGCATGACTTCAGAGCCTCTGTTCAATAGACTATTCTGACAATCTGATCTGAATCCTAAAATGCTCTCAACAAAAGGAAGGAAGGAAGGTGCATTTTTATTTGGAGTTCTTTAGACTTGACTGGCAGCAAATTAACATTTTATTGATGGTCTCCAGTTAGAATGGTTCTAATGCCTAATTTATATAAATCACACTTTTTTTGGCATTTCATAGATGTAAGACTAAATATATACATGTTGTTGTTGTTGTTCATTCGTTCAGTCGTCTCCGACTCTTCGTGACCTCATGGACCAGCCCACGCCAGAGCTCCCTGTCGGCCGTTACCACCCCCAGCTCCCTCAAGGTCAGTCCAGTCACTTCAAGGATGCCATCCATCCATCTTGCCCTTGGTCGGCCCCTCTTCCTTTTGCCTTCCACTTTCCCCAGCATAATTGTCTTCTCTAGGCTTTCCTGTCTCCTCATGATGTGGCCAAAGTACTTCAACTTTGTCTCTAGTATCTTTCCCTCCAGTGAGCAGTCGGGCTTTATTTCCTGGAGGATGGACTGGTTGGATCTTCTCGCAGTCCAAGGCACTCTCAGAACTTTCCTCCAACACCACAGCTCAATATACATAGCTGTTAATATAAAGTAGCCACATGCAAAAAGTTGAGCAATTATGCATGCTGACTTTCTATTCATGCATAATAATCTAATTGCTTTCTTTGAAAGTAGACTTCCTAATCAAATTACTTCATATGGTATTTTAGGACGACAGAATATATATGTGTGTGGTGTGCATATCTGAGGTTTCTTTTAAAGAAACACAGGGTTCCTGAAATAAACCAAACAGCAGATGGGTTTGAAAGGACACTGCTTTTTTTTTTTTGCAAACCTTTCCATTGATTGGTTGAGACACTTCAATTATAATGGCAAGAGTGTTGTTGTTGTTGTTCATTCGTTCAGTCGTCTCCGACTCTTCGTGACCTCATGGACCAGCCCACGCCAGAGCTCCCTGTCGGCCGTTACCACCCCCAGCTCCCTCAAGGTCAGTCCAGTCACTTCAAGGATGCCATCCATCCATCTTGCCCTTGGTCGGTCCCTCTTCCTTTTGCCTTCCACTTTCCCCAGCATAATTGTCTTCTCTAAGCTTTCCTGTCTCCTCATGATGTGGCCAAAGTACTTCATCTTTGTCTCTAGTATCTTTCCCTCCAGTGAGCAGTCGGGCTTTATTTCCTGGAGGATGGACTGGTTGGATCTTCTCGCAGTCCAAGGCACTCTCAGCACTTTCCTCCAACAAGAGTGTGTGTCCAGCCAAAGAAACATAATGTGAAATTTCCCATTAGCTTCAGTTGGATCAAATATAAATGTGACAAAGGATGTTAAGATCAGTACAAAACAAGCATTCTAATAATCAGGAATGGGGGGGAAATGAAGGTATGCCTTTAAAAAAGATTTTTTTTCTCCTTTAGAAAAAGTAATGTTTTCGGGAGTCAGCATTGAATTTCAAAGCTATGTACAACTAGGCTGCTAGTTAGGACTTATATATACATTTGACTAGTCTATCCATGTATCCTGCCTTGGCTAAGGCAAAGCTTCATGAGGTTCTAAGTGGGTTGCTAAAGGGGAAAAGATACAATAAAGTTAGCATACATATATGACTTAGCATTTGCATACAACAAATACAATAAGATCTGGAGAACAAGCCCTATGAGGTGTGGCTTAAAGAGCTGGGCATGTTTAACCCGAAGAAGAGAAGGCTGAGAGGAGACATTATAGCCATGTGTAAATATGTGAAGGGAAGTCATAAGGAGGAGGGAGTGGGCTTGTTTTCTGCTTCCCTGGAGACTAGGACACGAAACAATGGCTTCAAACTACGGGAAAGGAGATTCCACCTGAACATTAAGAAGAACTTTCTAATTGTGAGAGCTGTTCAGCAGTGGAACTGTCTGTCCCAGAGTGTGATGGGGGCTCCTTCTTTGCAGGCTTTTAAACAGAGGCTGGATAGCCATCTGTCAGGGGTGCTTTGAATGCGATTTTCCTGCTTCTAGGCAGAATGGGATTCGACTGGATGGCCCACAGGGTCTCTTCCAACTCTAGGATCCTATGAATACCTTTCCACTTTGCATTCCTCTTATTTACTTCATAAATCTACCACTGAAATAAACTTTTTCTCATGCAATGTATCCTTCCTGGCTTATCCTGTCAGTGGCATTAGTGGAACTGTGTATCAAAATCAATTTTAAAACACATTTTGAATAATAAATATTGACGTATGTGACACCACAAGTGGCGATTTTAGCTAGAAGCCTTGAGATTTTAACATAATGTTTGACTATATTTACATTTTTTGTACTTTTAGTGCTGAAAGGTGGCCCAGTTGAGGGAACCTACAAGCTGATTCAGTTCCACATTCATTGGGGATCCTGTGAAGGCCAAGGCTCTGAACACACTGTTGATGGGGTGAAATATGATGCAGAGGTAAGATCTCCCTGCAATTCCATTTTCTAAAGGTTTTCTCCTGAAGATGTGTATTGATATGCAATAAGGTCAGGCATTTATCTTCTGTTGAGAAGGCTCCTGCTGACAACTTTGCCAATCACAGAAAGCAGGGCATTAGAAATTGTATAATGGGCAGGAGATAATTTTTCACACACACCTTTCCAAAACTCTACCCCAATACCAAATTTTCATTACTTTTTTAATGAAGTAATGCCTAGCTACATGTTTAGTTTGTTAACTAAAATATACTCATTAGGACAAACCTGAGAATTATTGAGGCAAAGCGGTTGCTAAAGAACATAGCAGTTTTTGTCAATATGTTTTGCAGGATATGGCAACATGTTTGCATTTAGGCAGTTGTTTGAATGGACATGAAAAGCTAGTGAGAGAACAGCAATCTAATATCTACATTTGCATTCCATGCTTCATGGGAAAGCAAATCAGTACTCAAACAAGTTCTTGGCATTTCTATCTTTTAATACCTCAGCTGTAAAGGGAATTGTGTTAATGTTTAATATATGAGTTATCAAGATCTTTTAACAGGCCCCCTTCCCTCTGCTTTTTTTTCTTGCTTCCAGCTTCACCTGGTTCACTGGAACACAAAATATGGTAGCTTTGGTGAAGCTGTGAAACATCCAGATGGACTGGCAGTTGTGGGTGTGTTTCTGAAGGTAAATACTTTTCTATTCCCTTTTACCATCCTTGCAGAACATTTTGACCAAGCTGATTTGAGTCACCCTTCGGGGGGAGAATGGCGGGGTAAAAATGCATGAAATAAATAAATTTGTTTGTTCTCTGGAACAGCGTTTCTCAACCTGGGGATTGGGACCCCTGGAAGGGTCATGAGGGGGTGTCATAGGTGTCACCAAAGACCATCAGAAAACACAGTATTTTCTGTTGGTCATGGGGGTTCTGTGTGGGAAGTTTGGCCCAATTCTATTGTTGGTAGAGTTCAGAATGATTGTAGGTGAACTATAAATCCCTGCAACTACAACTCCCAAATGTCATGGTCTATTTTCCCCAAACTCCACCAGTGTTCACATTTGGACATATTGAGTATTCGTGCCAAGTTTGGTCCAGATCCATCATTGTTTGAATCCACAGTGTTCTCTGGATGCAAGTGAACTACAACTCTACAACTCAAAGTTAATGCCCACCAAACCCTTCCAGTATTTTCTGTTGGTCATGGGAGTTCTGTGTGCCAAGTTTGATATAATTCCATCATTGGTGGAGTTCAGAATGCTCTTTGATTGTAGGTGAACTATAAATTTCAGCAACTACAACTCCCAAATCATAAAATCAATCCCCCCAACCCCACCAGTATTCAGATTGGAGCGTATCGGTTATTTGTGCCAAATTTGGTCCAGTGAATGAAAATCCATCCTGCATGTTAGATATTTACATTACAATTCACAACAGTAGCAAAATTACAGTTAGGAAGTAGGAATGAAATAATTTTATGGCTGGGGTCACAACATGAAGAAATGTATTAAGAGGTCGTGTCACTAGGAAGGTTGCAAACCACTGCTCTAGAAGGTGAACTATTAACATAATTAAGTTGGCTTTGTGGTGATGTATGGACTTTCTTTTAGCTCTTTGACTTCTTCTGAGAACTGAACAGCTCAGGAATAGGTCTTTTGTTAACTGTTTGTAGAGAACAAAGGGCCAAATAGCCACGTAGACCTACCTTTTGCTATGATATAGGACCATTGTTTGTTAGCACACATCACAGATCAGTCAACCCAGCTCAAACATAGCATGTCTCAAGATAAGGTATATTCTGCTAAGACGTTTACTGAGTAAATAAGTCCAGATGACTTGTGCAAGTGAGCCAACCCCAGAACTATAAGAAAATCAATACCATCAAAAACCTTTTGGCCAATAAAATGTCAAAATTGTAAATGATAGCGGGCCCAATCTTATGCACACAGACTAACTTCTGACACAATGGCTTGTAGTTAGGTATGTGCAGCTGATTTCACACTTTCTATGACCTTGTATCAATTGTAGGCTACATAGTGCTCGATTTTCTGCTTTTTAAAATACAGAAAAAAAATGTTCCCGGAAAAGCTTTCAACAGTTTAAAAGAATAGTGGGCAATTAATACACATCCTCACCCTTTCCAGCTGTGCTAATACATATTTATGGTGTACTTCATTGTGTATACATTTTGTGTCTAAATATGAATCACTGGATTTTTTTATTGTTACTTGGAGCTGTTTTTCAGTGAAATCAATGAGATTTCCTTTCATGTAAATGTGTTTAGGACTTTGGTGGTTGATAGTAAAATACTTTGTTTTTAAAACAATGGTAGATGATTATTATTTTTTTCCTTGCTAGAGGAAGATAAATTTCTACACAATCTATCAGTGGCATGGGTTTAAAATGCTTCTTCAAGCACTAAATGTAACTAACCATCAAGTGAAATCTTAGATGCAGACATACAACTTCCTCTTCATTCCTTTATATTACAGGTTGGGAGTGCCTGTCCTGGAATACAGAAAGTTGTCGATGCACTGGACTCCATCAAACACAAGGTAATGTTTCTAGTTTTCTAGCTGCAAATAAATGTTTTGCTGTTGATCTCAAGTCTTCTTTCAAAGGAAAGCATTGGAAAGGGATTACAAGGGATTTGTTTTTAGCTTCTTACTGCTTGGTTAGGATTTTGTTTACTTTATTTCCTGGTGATATAATCATGATGGCGGAAGAAAAAGCAACAATACTGGCAAAACATAAAATGCCACAGGGCACCTGAAAGAGAAAGCTCCCTCCTCTCTTCTGCCTATTTTCCAGATCACTGCAACTATTTCTCACAAGACGAACTTGGGGTGGATGGTCCATGGATCCAAGAAAACTTGAGAATGGTTTGCTTGGACAATCTCCTGCTCTATGGCATACAGAGCCAGGCACCTTTCATTCCTTCCCTCTCTCCATGCATAATGTGAATATTACTGGCATTACTTGATTATTACTCAACTTAGAGCCCTTCCAGCCACACTCTATATCCCAGGATGTGATCCCAGGTTTTCTGTTTATCCCAGATTATCTGGCAATGCGGACTCATATAATTCAGTTTAAAGGAGAAAACCTGGGATCAGATCCTGGGATATAGGGCCTGTCTGATGGGGCCCTTAGTTTCCCAAGAGGATGCCAACCCATACGTTTTCACTTATCAATGATTCCTTACTTTTTTGTTGGTGAGGAAACTATATCCAGACAACAGAAACATGTACCTCTGTTTTCAATTATTTCTTGATGAAATCACCTGCTTCCTTTAGTGCACACAAACAAGCTGTGAGTGAGAATTGTATAAACACACCCCATTAGTTTAGCTTGTTTGCACGGTCCTGCCTCTTCACTAATTTGCATGGATAGATCTGCCCTCACAACATATCCCCACTTCCTAAATGTAAGTGGCCCACATATTTTTACCCCCTTCACTACTAGCTGTGGATCATTTTTTCAAAATGTATGCATATCTTACATTTATCAAGAAATATGGAAACTCCTTTTAGAACTAAATTATCACGAATGACGTGTATGTGTGCATAATGTTTACATTTGCATGAGACTATATTGTTTTATCTGATGTTTTATTTGTTCTAGGGCAAACGGGCTGCCTTCACAAACTATGATCCCACTGGTCTGCTTCCTTCCTCTCGGGATTACTGGACCTATCTGGGTTCACTGACCACTCCTCCTTTGCTTGAATGCGTCACCTGGATTGTTATGAAGGAGCCTGTAACTGTCAGCAAGGAACAGGTAAGTCCACACACTGAGAAAACATTATTATCTTTTTGTTAGTTGGTTTTAGTAGTGATAAAAAAAGCTGAGACTGTAATTGCATATTACTGTAAGACAGTGGTTCTCAACCTGTGGGTCCCCGGGTGTTTTGGCCTACAACTCCCAGAAATCTCAGTGAGTTTATCAGCTGTTAGGATTTCGAGGAGTTGAAGGCCAAAACATCTGAGACCCACAGGTTGAGAACCACTGCCGTAAGACAACATAAAGGCTCACATTCCAACTTGGAATGTGTTAGCAGTAGTATAAATCTGGTGAATCTTCTGGTTTTATTGTCTTCATTATCTGTCTCATACATAGGGATGCTTTGAAGATCAGGGAGGTAATGTTTTGAAAGAGGATGTTTGACTCTTTCCTCTTGTGGCCTTTTGCTAATTAAATACATCCCAACCTGGAACCTATCACTACAGTTAGCTTGACCAGAGGGAGCCAGAGATAGCAGAGGCTAATATTTGCAAAAAGCAATCCCTACTGAACCTAGATAAGTTGAGAATTAAATTACTGGCAGTGGAGCAGGATCTGTCAAGGTTTAATTTGAGTGTTTCTATTCTTAAAAGATACAGCCTGCTTCTAGTTGTTAATGCTTCATATATCAAGTTTTTTTTAATCATATGGTGAAATGTCTGAAAGACACTTTTAATCCTGGATACCTTGTGGACTAAGTTGCCTGTGCTTCCAACTCCAATTCAATTCATGAGTCACCACTTCTCTTGATTTGGTTTGACCTGACCCATCTAGGTTTTTTGTAGCAGTGGCTCAGAACACCAGTTCTGTGCTAATATTGAGGCTCTCATGGTGCTTATTTGAAAGTACATGCCAGCTCAATGATTACTATGTGGAAAGTATATTCAGTGGCTTCCATATGGGTAAACAGCCCAAGGGGATATCTCATCCTAGATATAGGAAGACTAACAAACAAGCAGACCATGGCCACAACAATGTGAGTTTCCACTTCACTGACTTTACAGGATAGTAGGCTTCTAGGAAATTCAGTCAGCATAAGTAAGGATTTTAGGAGTCCCTGGTAGTGCAGTGGGTTAAACTCCTGTGCCGGCAGGACTGAAGACCGACAGGTTGCAGGTTCGAATCTGGGGAGACCGTGAGCTCCCTCTGTCAGCTCCAGCTCCTCATGTGGGGACATGAGAGAAACCTCCCACAAGGATGGTAAAACATCAAATCATCCAGGCATCCTCTGGACAACATCCTTGCAGATGGCCAATTCTCTCACACCAGAAGCAACTTGCAGTTTCTCAAGTCACTCCTGACATGACAAAAAAAAAGTAAGGATGCATCCTTGGCAGTTTGGCATAGCTGCATGCATTTGTCAACATATGTATATACAATAGGATGAGTAACACCTAGTGGAAAATGTGTGGCTTTCTTGGATAATCAAGGCTCTTGAATGTTTAGAAGTAAATAAGAATACATAGAGATACATTCTTGCACTTGCATAAACAATGGCCATTTGTTTGTATCCATTTACTGACACAACACCCTCAGCTAGTTAAATAAAATGGTGGATATTTCTATCTCATAAAGATCACATTGAATTACACGTGCATTAACACACGAGAGAGCTTCACATACAGATGAATGTTAAGAATAAAAACCACATATTTTGGAATTTAGAATGAAAACTGAACAAATTATATACATTATTTACACAGTCTACAAGGCTTCCTACAGAGAAGCATGTTCATAGATATTTAAGAAAAAAACATTGCAGTTACTTTATGTGCATGTCAGACTTTAAATTACACAGTCTAAAGTGCAAAGCTGAGGTACAAAGCTGTCCTTTTAAGCATGGCTGGATTATGTTTTGGGCTATGTGTAAAGAACAGAGGCAGTACAGTTCATTCATAATGTATATTTTCTCTAACTCATGAACATACAGAGCTGCTTTTATCAGATCAATACCCAGAACCTATTATTGTCTCCTCCGATTAGTACATTTCTTCAGGGCCCAAAATCAGTTCTGTTGTGTCTTTTAATTCCTAGCATCTTACACGTTTTAACTGGAGATACTAGGGGGAGAGCATGGGACCAAAAAAGCATGGGATTTACTCATTGGGTGTTTTGCTATTAATTGGTCTCTGTTTTTTTATAATGGGAAGTAGACTGAATGTACACTATTGGTAAACAGCAGAAAGAAGATAGGCATTTGAAAACCTGACACGAGCATGGTTTTGGTCATCTTAATGCTATACACACACAGAAAGGACTCTGTGGCAAATAATAATAATAGTAATAATAATAATAATAATAATAATCATCATCATCATCATCATCATCTATACTGCCCTCTCTCCCTGAGGGAATTCAGAGTGGTTTACACATAAGAAGTCAGACATTCAATACCTGAGTACAAAACACATCAAAAATGTAACAAGATACACAATAGAGTACAATAATAACATGAGTTTACCATGAAGGATTAAGCTTTGAGATAAAGAAAGGATAAGAATTTGTGAGTTTCCAGTGGCACACCCTATACTGTGCCCTGTGCATATCACAACTCTTCCTAAACTGGTACTTTGGCCTGCATCTCCCATTATTCATGACCATTGTCCATGCTGGCTGGGGCTTGTGTCCAAAACACCAGCAAGGCTAAAGAAGACTAATGTATGGTTCATTTGCCATCTTAAAGGAACATTGGCACCAACCATTTTTAATGTAACTGTATTTTAAATTGTTTTGAGGGTATTTGTAGTAATGATTAATTATGTTTTAGTTAATTATGTCTTACTGACTATTCTATCATATATATTTTTCTCTTCCAGATGGAAAAACTCCGTTGTCTTTGCTTCAATGATGAGAATGAGTCACACTGTGCCATGGTTGACAACTGGCGCCCATGCCAGCCCCTGAAGGGCAGAGATGTTAGGGCCTCCTTCCAATAAGCGCTGTCCATTAAACATTGCTGTGTTCTGGAGGGTTTGGGTTTGTTTTTTCTAAGCTAAGCACAAATCAGACTAATGCCATACATGCACTGGTGACAGCTATTTGCTTTTCCTAGTGTTCTCTCTTCTTCCTGTCCTATTCCGAATTTCTAAGTAATGAAATGCAAAAAGGCCATAAATCAGGAAGAAGGCCATTATATTGCAGTGTGGGTGGGTGTGCATTGTGCTTGCCAGGGGAAAAAGGAAGGGGAGCAGAGGCACAGAGTGATGCTTGATAAGAATTGCTGTGATTTTGGTGCTGATGCTGTAATAGGATATCATTCTTTGACAGCCTGTCAAGGGATGGAATGATAGGAAACTGATAAAGAAGCCATTTTTAAAAAAACAAAAAAGTAACCTCATAGAAACATACGATGCTGTGTAAACTCAATAACTTGAATCTTTCATGGAAGCACAGGAATGCAATCTAATGTGGACATTTTGTTTCTGATTTAAGGTAATACCTTTTATAAAAAATAGGCATTAAAATGCAACATTAGTATTGAAGATCAAATGTCTTAGCTTTTAAAAAGTTTGAAGTGTAAATATTCTACTTGTTTTACATTTTAGCCATAAATCTGAACCATGTCTTAATGTTAGTGTTTTTTTTTCAAATTACAAAATGTCAGCTGACCTAAATTAAGTACTGTTGTGTGTAAAAATTGTTGATACCATAGATATAATACAGAATATTGTACCATTAAAATAATGTCATAATTTAAATAAGAAATTAATATTGTATTTTAGATACCTTCTCTAATAAAAAATATATATATTTAAGTTCGTTTTTCTGGTCTTTTATTGCTGTTCAGCACAGAGAAAAACAAACAAACTGTAACTTCATGTGTGAACAATTTATTTCAACAGAACAGAAACAATCCAGTTGTGAAGAATGAAGGCAGTTAGTTATAGTCTAGCAATATCTGGAGGGTCACACATTCTGCATCACTCTTCCAGTAAACAGAAATAATTAGGACTTTATATGTATGTTGTTGCATATTTCAGAGAGTGGGCCTCAGATAGAATCTTTTTCATACAACTTTATCCAAGTAAATCTCCTGCTCAATACACATTCAAGAGCTTGTTGAGATCAGTTCCTCTAAATAGCATAGATGAGTACTGTCCTGGATTAGTAAAAGGCTGATTACTGTACATCAAGCAAAAATGTTGTAAAGAAGGGATAAGGGAGTTAGTAGATTATACATTCTCTATGGGTAGCTGGGTTAGATGAGAACTTTGAACAAATCATTACTGCTGTGAGATGAGGCTATTCTTTGTCACATTTTCAAGGATTCTGACATTGTCTACCAGTTCAAAGCTTCTCGTGTTCTATCATCTTTCCCACACACAAACACACAATCAAGGAAGAAAATATGACTTTTTTTTAGCTGAGAAGTTCTTTCAGTCAGGATCTTTCCATCTGGAATTTCTTGGGTTTTAGGCACAAATTTATAATTTTGTTATATATGAATAGAAGGGCTCTACTCACTGAAGGTATCTCCAGACGAATTTCAGGGATATCCCCCTCCTACAATCACACCATGCCATAGCTCTTCTCATTCATAAATGTCCCCCATCATGTTTTCAGGGGGCAAACTTGCTGCTATATTGAGGATGGTCGGTGCAGACTGATTTTGCCAACCCAGTTGGACATATCTAAATCGAGATTGAATCCTAAGGAGTCCCCGATGGCACAATAGGTTAAACAATTGTTCCGGCAGGACTGAAGACAGACAGGTCGGAGGTTCAAATCTGGGGAGAGTGTGGATGAGCTCCCTCCATCAGCTCCAGCTCCCCATGTGGGGACATGAGAGAAGCCTCCCTCAAAGGTGGTCAAACATCAAAACATCCTGAGTATCCCCCGGGCAACATCCTTGCAAACAGTCAATTCTCTCACACCAGAAGCTTGCAGTTCTCAAGTTGCTCCTGACACAAAAAAAACAATCCCAAATACATAGCTACAAATGTGTTTGTACGCATGCCTTCAAGTTAGATACCAATGGGCAAGGAAAAGCCTAGTTTTAACAGTTTAGTTGTAAAAATTTTGTGATGTGTTCTGGAGGATGGGCTCTGTAAGTAGTCTCCTCTTCCTGATTTCATTCATTACTATAGAGCAGTAGTTCTCAACCTGTGGGTCCCCAAGTGTTTTGGCTTACAACTCCCAGAAATCCCATCCAGTTTACCAGCTTTTAGGATTTCTGGGAGTTGAGGGCCAAAACATCTGGGGACCCACAAATTGAGAACCACTAATATAGAGCATCATTGTACATGATGCTTTACTAGAAAAAAATCAATAAAACAGTTTCCTGTCCTCAGGTTTATAATTTTAATTAAGACACAACACAAAAGGAAAAGAGGATGACAGCATTTGAGGGGATTCAGACCAGTCATTGCAGCCATCATCATCAGCATCATCATGTCTTTTTGACTTAATGACAACTCTATCAATTTCATGTCTTCTTGGGCAAGGAATACTCAGGTGGCTTTGATAGTTTCGTCTTTTGAAACATAACCTACAGAACCTGGGATTCCAAAACACCTACACTTGTGCCAACAGGAAAGAAAAAGCAATTTTCCCTGTTATACCCATGTTAACATTCTTTCCCCTGTCCTAAAAAGGAATGTTTGAGACTGCAGGTTCTTCTTCCTAAACTATTTTCTCTCTCAATTTTTCAAAAAAGATCACAGTTATGTTTCCTCTTTATTGCAGAGCATATTGTAGAAAAACACCACCATGGATCCATGCAGCATGGCAGGCTCGAGGCAAAATGAATGCTTTGATATCTACAAGAAACAAATTCCAGGCTCTTAGTGAGAATAGAAAACAGGTTTTTCCATTCAGCACACTGAAATATAGAAAAATGACAGAATATAACTACACCAAATAGATTTTTAGGTCAATAATACTTGAACATAGATGACTGATGATTATGATTTTTCTATCACCATGGATGGATCAAGCAACAGGCACAGTAGGATGACATTCCTCTATATTTGCCTTCCAGCTATGAACTGATTCCAATCAATTGGTCTTATGGACCATACAGGATGTGTGTGCTTCAGTTCAAAAATTCAAGAAAGGGTTTTTCAAGAGAAAAAAATCAAGAGAGGTTTTTCGGGCTATATGGCCATGGTCCAGAGGCATTCTCTCCTGACGTTTCGCCTGCATCTATGGCAAGCATCCTCAGAGGTAGTGAGGTCTGTTGGAACTAGGAAAAAGGGTTTATATATCTGTGGAATGACCAGGGTGAGACAAAGGACTCTTGTCTGCTGGAGCTAGGTGTGAATGTTTCAACTGACCACCTTGATTAGCATAGAATGGCCTGACAGTGCCTGGAGCAAACTTTTGTTGAGAGGTGATTAGATGTCCTTATCAAAGCCAATTATGCAAAGCCTAACAAAAAATGAAAGTTTATACTTGTTGGTAGAAGGAGAGTAAGGAGGGAGCCATTCTAATTTCTTTGGAACAGAGAGAAGGGCCTCTCCTAAAGATCATAGTGCTCTAACAGGTTCATACAATTAAAATACATTCAACAAGCCATCAACTACACATCCATGTCTTCATTTTTCCCCACCAGTAAAAGGAGAAAACAAATCATACAGATTTCAGTTCATTATAATCTCCCCATTTCATTTGGATGCAGGAAGCAGTGTTTAATGATTTGGTTAAGAAAGCAAAATATTGCATGCAAAGTTTGGGAATAACTAGCTCCAAATTAATTTGTTGTTTCTAAATAATCCCTTTTGCAATAAATATATTATTATTATATTTATTTATGCCCCACTTTATCTCTCTCAAAGGAGACTCAAAGCATTAGCACACAATTTAAAATATACAAAAATACAAACATTAACACAGAATTAAATATAAACTAGAGAGAGAGAATAACATGACACTACACCTTGAAGATTGATTCACTCCTTTTCCAGTAATCTATATTTCTCTCTCTATACTAGAAAAGGAGTGAAGTAATCCATATTAAATCATACCTGTAGTGTAACATAATTCTGATATATTTATTGCAAAAGGAATTATTTAAAAATAACAAGTTATGTTTGGAGGATGGATTCCCTAAATGGCAGAGAAGAAATGCAATATAACTAAAGTCCTTCATGCACAGAAAAAATTGTTAGCATGCAGATCATCCCAACCTTGACAGATACCATAAGGTTGTATATTGGAGACTAAAGGAATGAGCCAACAGAGCACAGTGATTTGTTTTATGAACTAGTATTCTGAGAAAAAAGTATCCAAGTTACATTTTGATAAATATATTAGAAACAGTTTATACACTCCATATAAGGATTGACATAGTACACAGTGTATAAAAGATACAAATTATAAAAAAGCATTAAACTGATATATTTTATTAAAGGGTTAGATCTGATAGAGTTATAGGGTACAGCTGCTGTTAGGTCCATTCCAGGACCTCTAGCACTTTGGAATTTCACAACTCCGGACCTCTGAAAAAGGTTTTTAATAAGAAAAAATAAAAAATCATGAAGTCTCTTAGTGTACTATAAATCCTTGGGGTGGGTAGGTGGGTATCATGGCTCAATAACACTCTGACAGAATCATCATAAATCAAAGCCAACTTGAAAGCACATCACAATAACAAGAAACAATGAAAAGAGACCTTGGATTATCTAGTATATGTACTGCCTATAAAAGCTACCCAAGAACTGTGAATAACTATATGGCCATCTTTTCTTTAATTTAGAATAAAATCGTTACTTTTTGAACCCTTATGTTAGCAAACACAAAGGAATGTATGTTATGAAACAATAAGTCAGTGCTGGAGCAATAAATCACATCTTATATAGCTAGGCATACAGAAAATGAACAATGGCTCACCAGATATTTGCATATTACACATATCACATTGCAATCCTGCCTCTGGGTGTGCAATTTTGCCAGCTGCTAGCCATAAACCTTGCTAGGTTTGTTTCCCCCCCTTTTCTCTGGCTTACCTATGAATGAATTGTCATGTGTCAATATAAACCGGTAATTACAATGTTTCGTAGCACATGTGGACCAAATTTGAGTGTGGGTACTACTTTTATCAATTATATTATTTGCAATACAATGTAATGCCTACAATCTACCAGGAACATCTGCTGTATTGAAAGAAAAAAAAGCATTAGCACTCTTCCAAATAATTTGTTGTTATTAATTGCTATCAAGTCAGCCTCAACCTATGGCCATCCTATGAATGAGAGTCATTCAAGTTCCTTTGTCATCAACAGCCCTGCGCAGGTGTGGCAAAAGTAGGACTGTGGGTTCCTTGATTGAATCTATCCACCTATAATGTGTTATCTTTCCTACTGCTTTCTCATCTTAGTATATATAGACTAATATGACTAGTATATATAGACTTCTTTCTAATATGTTCTGTGTTCTGCAATGTACAACAGTCTCGGTTCAATCACATTGGCTTCTCGGGAGAGCAAAGTATGCCCCCATGCCAATATGAGTAAATCTTGCAAAAGTTAGTGAAATATTAACATATTATGTAGAATCATTGGATCATTGAATCCTATAGTTGGATGAGACCTCGTAGGCCATCCAGTCCAATCCCCTGCCAAGAAGCAGGACAATCATATTCAAAGCACCCCCGACAGATGGCCATCCAGCCTCTGTTTAAAAGCCTCCAAAGAAGGAGCCTCCACCATCATGTAGATCTTCTAATATGTGTGCATGTCCCTTCATGTTGCAATACTTTCTTTTAAATCTTTGCATTGATTCATTGACTCATTTGCAAGAAACCTGTTGGTAACAT